CTCAGTCTTTCTGTCTGTCTCTTTCTGTCTTTCTCTCTGTCTTTGTCTCTCTTTATCCCTCTTTCTTCCTCTCTGTCTCTCTCACTCTGTCTCTGTCTTTCTTGCTCTCTCTCTCTCTCTTTCTCTTTGTGTCTCTGTCTCAGTCTTTCTGTCTGTCTCTTTCTTTGTCTCTCTCTCTTTCTTCCTCTGTCTCTCTCTCTCTTTCTTGCTCTCTCTCTCTCTTTCTCTTTGTGTCTCTGTCTCAGTCTTTCTGTCTGTCTCTTTCTTTGTCTCTCTCTCTTTCTTCCTCTCTGTCTCTCTCTCTCTCTCTCTTTCTCTTTGTGTCTCTGTCTCAGTCTTTCTGTCTGTCTCTTTCTGTCTTTCTCTCTCTCTTTGTCCCTCTTTCTTCCTCTCTGTCTCTCTCACTCTGTCTCTGTCTTTCTTGCTCTGTCTCTCTCTCTCTCTCTCTTTCTCTTTGTGTCTCTGTCTCAGTCTTTCTGTCTGTCTCTTTCTGTCTTTCTCTCTGTCTTTGTCTCTCTCTCACTCTGTCTCTGTCTCTCTCTCTCTCTCTTTCTGTCTTTCTCTCTGTCTTTATCTCTCTCTCACTCTGTCTCTGTCTCTCTCTCTCTCTCACTTTCTGTCTTTCTCTCTCTTTGTCTCTCTCACTCTGTCTCTCTCACTCTGTCTCTCTCTCTCTGTCTCTCTCACTCTGTCTCTCTCTGGCAGGTTCTCTCTCTTGTCTGCTCTTCTTGTAATGAGACTATAGGCGCCGTCCCCCCTCTCCCCTCCATCTCCTCTCCCTCTCTCCACCTTCTCCCTCCCTCTCTCCCTCTCTCCCTCTCTCCCTCCTTCTCTCTCTCGTTCTAAGCAGAGCCCTCTAATAGTCGGCGGTGAAGGAGACGGGAGCAGAGCACAGGAGCCATTGTTTCTGCAAATGAGCTTTTCACACCCGGGCTGCCTTCATCTCACAGCTGTCTGTGTGAAAGGAGAGAGGGAGAGAGGGAAGGAGAGACAGAGAGAGAGAGAGAGGGAGAGAGGGAAGGAGAGACAGAGAGAGAGAGAGAGAGAGGGAGGGAGAGAAGGAGGGAGACCCGGGCTGCCTTCATCTCACAGCTGTCTGTGTGAAAGGAGAGAGGGAGAGAGGGAGGAGAGACAGAGAGAGAGAGAGAGAGAGAGAGGGAAGAGAAGGAGGGAGACCCGGGCTGTCTTCATCTGACAACTGTCTGTGTGAGAAGGGAGAGGGAGGGAAGGAGGGAGGAGGAGAGAGACAGAGAGAGGGGGAAGACAGGGAAGGAGGAGGAGAGAGAGACAGGGAGAGGGGGAAGACAGGGAAGGAGGGAGGAGAGAGAGAGAGGGGGAAGACAGGGAAGGAGGGAGGAGAAGAGAGAGAGAGAGGGGGAAGGAGGGAGGAGGAGAGAGAGAGGGAAGACAGGGAAGGAGGAGGAGAGAGAGACAGAGAGAGGGGGAAGACAGGGAAGAAGGGAGGAGAAGAGAAAGAGAGGGGGAAGACAGGGTAGGAGAGAGAGACAGAGAGGGGGAAGATGGGGATGGAGGGAGGAGGAGAGAGGGGGAAGACAGGGAAGGAGGGAGGAGAAGAGAGAGAGAGAGGGGGAAGGAGGGAGGAGGAGAGAGGGGAAGAAAGGGAAGGAGGGAGGAGGAGAGAAAGAGAGGGCGAGAGGAGGAGAGAGAGAGAGAGAGGGGAAGACAGGGGAAAAGGGAGGAGAGAGACAGAGAGAGGGAGAAGACAGGGAAAGAGGGAGGAGAGAAAGACGGAGAGGGGCAAGACACGGAAGGAGGGAGGAGGATAGAGAGAGATGGGAGACAGTGGAGGAGGGAGGAGGAGAGAGAGAGAGAACTTTTCACACCCGAGCTGCCTTCATCTCACAACTGTTTGTGTGAGAGGAAGAGAGAGAGATTGAGAGAGAGAGAGAGAGGAGAGAGAAGAGGGGAGAGAAGGACTGAGACCTTCACACTGTCTGTGTGAGAAGAGAGGAAAAGAGAGAGAGGAAGAGAGCTAGAGAAGCAGGGAGAAAGAGGAGGAGGAGGAGAGAGAGGGAGGGAGGGAGTTTTTCACACCTGAGCTGCCTTCATCTGACAACTGTGAGAGGAGAGAGGGAAGGAGAGAGGTGAAGAGAGAGGAGGAGGAGTGAGAAAGAGTGAGAGAGCTTTTCACACCCGGGCTGCCTTCATCTAAGAACTGTCTGTGAGAGATAAGAGAGGGAGAGAGAGGGAGGGAAGGAGAGAGAGAGAGGGAAAGAGGAGGAGGAGAGAAGAGAGGGAGAAAGAAAGAGGGAGAGAACCTTCATCTAACAACTGTCTGTGTGAGAGGAGAGGGAAGAGAGAGACGAGGACAGAGAGAGAGGAGGAGCGAGATAGAAAGAGAAAGAGAGAGGAGGAGGACAGAGAAGAGGAGTGAGAGAGAGAGAGAGAAAGAGAGAGGAGGACAGAGAAGAGGAGTGAGATAAGAGAGAGAGAGGAGGAGGACAGAGAAGAGGAGTGAGAGAGAGAGAGGAGGAGTGAGATAGAGAGAGAAAGAGAGGAGGAGTGAGAGAGAAAGAGAGGAGGAGGACAGAGAAGAGGAGGAGTTAGATAGAGACGTGAGATAGAGAGAAAGAGAGAGACAGGAGTGAGAGAGAGAAAGAGTGTGGAGGAGGACAGAGAAGAGGAGTGAGAGAAGAGAGAGAGGAGTGAGATAGAGAAAGAGAGGAGGAGGACAGAGAAGAGGAGTGAGAGAGAGAGAGGAGGAGTGAGATAGAGAAGTGAGATAGAGAGAGAAAGAGAGAGGAGGAGGACAGACAGGAGGAGTGAAAGAGAGAGAGAGAAAGAAGGAGAGAGAGGATGAGTGAGACAGAGGGAGAAAGAGGAGGAGAGAGGAAGGCAGTTTTTCACACCTGGGCTGCCTTCATCTGACAACTGTGAGAGGAAGAGAGAAAGAGAGGATGAAAGGGAGAGAGAAGGGGAGCGGGAAAGAGTGAGAGAAAGGAGGAGAGAGAGATGAAAGAGAGGAGAAGGGAGTGAGGAAGAGAGACCGAGAGAGAGGGAGGAGCGGTAAGAAGGAGGAGAGAGAGTTGTTTTTATAAACCTTTATTGTGTCTGTCGAGAATATTTCGCGTTGCATTTCCTCCACACCTCGTGCTGTTTCCAAAAAAAACAACAACTGAGCAATGTTTGTTTGAGAGAAAGAGACAGAGGGAGAGAAAGAAGGAGAAAAAGATAAAGGGATGCACGGAGAGAGAGTAGATGAGTGAGCGAAGGAGACGGAGGAGAGGAAGAGAGAATGAGGGACAGGAGGAGCGAAATAAAGATAAGACTGAGAGGATGAGAGAGAGAGAGGGGGATAGAAAGAGGGAGAGGAGGAAGAAAGAGAAAGAGACAGAGTAGATGACAAGAGGGAGTGAGAGAGGGATAGAGGAGAGGAGGAGAGAAAGAGGGACAGGAGGAGGAGAATGAGAGAAAGAAAGAAAGATGAGACGATAGAGAGAAGGAGAGGAGGAAGAAAGCGACAGAGGGAGACGGAAAGAGAGTAGATGAGTGAAAGAAGGACATTTTAAGGCTTGTGAGCAGAGCCTTGCACAGAATCTTACAGGAGGATTGAATAGTGTGCAGGAGAGATCACTAAATTACTCAAACATGCATGGATGACATCTAAAACCTAAATATTTTTGTATAATAACTACCGTAATACCTCTTTAACAATGCATTTTAGGGCAGTAAAAACAAAATAAATTACAAGAGAAAACTTTGGTATTGCAGCTTTAAAAATCCGTGTATCATTCGTTCATTAATTTTTCAATATAAAACCAAAATAAGAAAACGAAAAAACAACTGTTTTCTTCATTATTTGTCTCCAAAACCAAAATGAAAAAAACGGATAACGATTCCTTTTTTCAGTTTTCGATTTTATGTTTAAATGAAGAATGGAAAAAACGGATAACGGCCGTTTCCTGTTTACGTGACTTCTGTTACTGCGATGCCGGACTTTTGCACCGCATACGGACTGAACCAGGACTGATCCAGGTCCGAGACCAGACCGGAACCAGAGCGGGACCCGAGCGGAAATGAGACCGAGACCAGCGGTCCGAGCGGTTCCATGTCATCATCTGCGCCCTGGTTCTGTGCGGGGAAAGCGAGAACGCGCTGTGGACTACAGGTCCGGACGGGCTGCTCCAGTCCTCCACGCTCAAGAACCGCGGCTCGTTCCAAGGTGGTGCAAAGCATCCAACTGACGCTTTCACACCAACGAAAATGAACCGAACTAAGAGCTTTTGGTTCAAATGGACCAGGTCCGGGACAAGACCGGGACCAGGCCGGGATCAGACCGGAGGCTCAGAGCCCACGGCAGGGCCGGAGCTCGAAGCTGAGGCTCAGACCCCGCGGAGGCTCAGAATCAAAGCTCGGAGTCCGCCCTGGTCCCGCTCTGGTCCCGGTCTGGTCCTGGACCTGGATCAGTCCTGGTTCAGTCCGTACGCTGTGCAAAAGTCCGGCATCGCAGTAACAGAAGTCATGTAAACGGCCGCTTCTCCGTTTTTTCCATTCTTCATTTAAACACAAAATCGAAAACTGAAAAAACAAATCGTTATCCGTTTTTTCACAAATAATGAAGAAAACAGCTTTTTCATTTTCTTATTTTTGGTTTTATATTGAAAAACGAATGATGATACACGGATTTTTAAAGTTTCATTGTGTAACTTTTCAGGTGGAGGGTCCGTCAAAAGCTTTTCTCTATAAACATTATTATTGTTATTTCTTTGTCTGGAATGTTTCACAGTACGATATTAAGCCTTTATATCTTCATGGAGACCAAACCAGACCAAGTTACAGGTCAGATCTGTGGACCTGCTCACAGTCAGAATGTCTGCTACAACACTACCTCTGAGTAAATGTAAGGTAGAGCTGTTTAATGTCATACTGTGGAATATTTCAGGCACATCCATAGAAACAAGCAGGCGACGGCTTCTCCAGCGCACGTTTATTAATGACGGCGAGTTGAAAATCCGACCTCTGTTGCTTGTGTGTTGCAGGTCTGGTGTGTATGAAGTCGAGCTCGTCGGTGGTGGAGCTGGTCATGCTCTTATGTTCTCAGGTGAGTTAGTCTCCTCATTTTTTACACATTTTTACACATAAAAAAAATCACACATTTACACACACGTCACGACCAAATAGCAGCGATTGGTTGAATTAAAAAAAGTACCCGCCTACCGTCGAGCGAACGTATCCTAACGCTGCGAGGTCACGCGGTTTCCACAAAGTGAAACCGTCTGATGAATGAGGCTTGTTTACGATGCCAACGAATTTCGATTCTGGTCTCTAAAAAAATAATTTAGTGTGTCTATAAAGCGAGCTCACCTGAAACCTACGCAGTCCCACGACCCTCGCTGCCCACTGGTGCAAAACTGAACATTTTTTGTGGCCCTCTAGGTGGCGCTTGAGGCCCGATGTTTCACAGTATGGCATTAAACCTTTATATCTTGATGGAGACCAAACCAGACCAAGTTACAGCCCCACTCAGCCAGAAAACATGTTATTTTTGAGCTATAAAACCACCTGTAATTGAATAAATGTAAAGTAGAGCTGTTTAATGTCACACTGTGGAACATTCCAGGCAGAGCAATGACATCTCCATAGAAACAAGCAGGTGACGGACCCCCAACCAAAAAGTTATAGTGCATCTTGTAATTCATTTCATGTTAAAATGTGATGCAACATTACAGTGACATTTTGCGATACTCCTAGTTTTTTTAAGTACACGTTCTGTAGATATCGACGTAAAATCAGTATCATTTATTTCGCCTTTTGCGTTGAAAATGTTTTATCATTACAAAAATAAAACGAGGTCGAACATTCCAATGTCCGAGTCCGTTTACTGACACTAATACCTCCGCTTTAATGTCCCCACAAATCACCGGGCACTTAAAAACAGATGCTTCACCGTGGAGACCTCTGGAGCTTCAGACAGTACAACAATATTTAGCAACGCGGCGAACGTTTATGACCAGTGCAAATCAGATCACTCCAAATCAGATTACCCTCATTACATCTGATTATCTGATTTTTGGTGTGTGTTAAATGTGCGTTGTGTAACTTTTCCTGGTGGAGGGTCTGTCAGATGTGTTTCTTCATGGAGACGTTGTTGCTTTGTCTGGAATGTTTCACAGTATGGCATTAAAACTTTCTATTTTCGTGGAGACCAAACCAGATCTAGTTACAGGTCAGATCTGCGGAGAGGCGACCCCCGCTCACAATCAGAATGTTGTTTTTCTAGGTATTTTTGAGTCATAAAACCACTTGGAATTGAGTCATTTTTAATGTCATACTGTGGAACATTCTAGGCAGAGCAGTTGCATATCCACAGAAACAAGAAGGTGACAGATCCCCAACCAAAAAGTGAAATAGTGCACATTTAAGTATAATTTTTAGGTATCTATACTTTCCTTGATCAAATTTTACAGTGGTATCTGTACTTTCTACTCTTTCTTTCTACTTCTACTTTGTTGAAAACGCTGAGACTTACTTGTAGCACATTTAATTTGAGTAAACTAAAAACACAAAAATAGTAGCAGATCGATCATGTGTAGAAAGAAGAGGGCTACACATATCCAGGTTAGTAGTAATATAAGTTGTTGTCCATAAGTTGTAGTATCCAGGCTGTGAGTTAAAAGAAAACAAAATTATAATCTTAAAAAGGGGGAATTACACTTTACACACTCTCTGCCAATGAAACTACTGCACATTGAATCAGGTTTGTGAAGTCGTAGTGTGTTTAAATTAGGGGTGTCAAATTATCGCGTTAATTGCGATTAATTAATTACAGTCATATTTAGCGCGTTATGTTTTTTAATCGCGTTAATCTCATTTTTAATCTCTAACTTTAGTGTTTCTGTATGCGAGTTACTTTATTATAAAACCTGTTTTTATGTGTTGTTGGGACAATAACACACACACATGCACACACAAAAACCACATTTATACATTTTTTTATTTCGGTAATTCCTCTCATTGCCGGAAACCCACACAAAACGCGCGCAGTAACAGCGATGTAAACGTCATGTTAAAGTTGGCGGCGTCAGTCGCACAATGGACGAGGTCGTAGAGCCAGTAGAACAGAGGCAGCAGTGCACAGGTAAAAACACATTCGTGTCTTGGAAATTCTTCTCCCGACGTGAAATATAAAAGAAAATAACAAATATAATATCGCCTGAAAACAACCTGCATAGACTCATGATGTCTGCACTACTGTCCTATCGTGACCTGCCACATGAGGGGACACGCACACAAACACACACACACACACAAACACAAATACACAAACACACACCTTCATCATCGTCATTAACCTGAGAACGCGCGGACCACGTTTCCTTCCGTAGTTACTGCGTGGACACCGACGTGCTCCCGTGAGCCGCGTGTGGATCATGTTTTCTCGCGTACGCGGCGTAAACCGCGCTTCCTCCTGTGCGCCTCTAAAACCAGAACTAACACCAAGACTAAAACCAGGACTAACCCAGTCCAGGACTAAACCAGGTCTAAACCAGGACTAAAAACAAGGACTAAAACCAGGTCTAAACCAGGTCTAAACCAGGACTAAACCAGGACCAAACCAGAACTAACACCAGGACTAAAACCAGGATTAATCCATTCCAGGACTAAACTAGGACTAAAGTAGGACTAAAGCAGGTCTAAACCAGGACTAAAACAAGGACTAAAACCAGTGATCTCATATATAAAGCATTTCTCTATCAATAATATTTTTAATATGGTTAAGGAAAGACTGGACTTTTTATTGTCTTTAGACAAAGTTATTATGTTCAGATTTCCTCGTCTTTGCTACTTTACAGCAAACAGTTTCTTATTCATGGAGACTTGGGCTCAACAGACAATTTGGAGAGATTTGTTGAACAAAAAGTCACTTTTTTGTTCTATATCAGTCTTTTGATCTGCCACAATAATGTAATAATGAATTTAAATGAAAATACCTCAAATTGAAGGCTTTTCTCAGCAATTTTTAGGTGAGATTAAAATTAGATTAATTAGATTAATTAATTACAGATCATAATTAATTAATCTCTCAATTTTTTTAATCGCATGACAGCACTAGTCATTTTATATCTTGTTTTAGTATATTTATGGAAAATTGGATGAATGCCTGTTTTTCTTGGTATTTTTGAGCTATAAAACCACCCGGAATTTAATAAATGTAAAGTAGATCTGTTTAATGTCACACTGTGGAACATTCCAGGTAGAGCAACGGCATCGCCATAGAAAAAAGCAGGTGATGGTCTCTAAACAAAGAACTTACACAGTGCATCTTTAAATCTGATCCTCAAAAAACACCTAATAACACGTGATCTTTTTTTTTGGAGTAACTGTTATTTGGAAAACAAAGTACATTGAATTTTGAAACATCTTCTCTTTCTTTGCCATTTTTGTTCAGTTTTTTTTCTCTGTAAGCCTTAAAATGTTATCCCGCACACATCATCCAGGGGTTAGGGTTATTTCACTATTTCATCCGTAAATCAAGATATGAACATTAATAACAGATCAGTCAGGTGCCTTTTTTCACTGAGGCCGCTCCCACTAGTGTTAGGACCAGGTTTGACTGACAGCCTCACTCCTGATGGGCTCTTCTTCGTGCTCGGATTTCCAGATATAATCCTCGGTTACAGATTAGCCACTATAACTGGCAACCTCGATGAGCTTCATTTGGCTGCGACCAAACGCCATGGATTCAGTAATCTGATATCCCCAGAAATCAGATTATGATCAGACTTTTGGTGCATGATTAAAGGTCCTATATTACACAAAATTGACTCTCATGAGCATTAAGACACGTTAAAATGTAGTTACCTCCTCAAAAACAGACCTGGAGTTGTTTTGTTTCATTCACACATGTTTGAGTAACACTTTTATTAGTCTGTCTACATCTCCGAAGCTCAAAATGCTCTGTTCCACCTTGTGATGTCATGTAGTTTTCAAGTTATCAGCTACTAGGGATGCAACGATATAAAATCCCTCGATATTTTCACGATATGGATCTCACGGTTCGATATGTATTGCGATATTTGGTGGAGGATTACAAATATGCAACTTTTTTTTGTTTAAAAGCCTTTGATACTGTTATAATAGAAGAATTAAGATTTAAAAGTGCTTCAAAACACTTATTTCTTCATGTAGTCTGCAAACAGCAAAGGATCGTGGTCTATGTAGTTCCCTCTGATTTTTAGTTATTGCTTCACCACGGAAAGGCAAGGCAAGTTTATTTCAGTAAGTAACTCTGAGTGCTTTACTGAATAAGAAAAACATTAAAAACATAAATAAAAACATGAGAATGAACATAACTATTCACTTAAGCAAAGAAACTTGTAATTCAGTATATTGTGATGGTCCACGATATTATTGTGAGAACTTTGACGATACGATATCACGATATTTTGGTTATTGTTGCATCCCTATCGGGTACTTTTTGGCTTTACTTCAGTAGAGATGGGCAATTCCAGAGTCTGAAATCATCCAATTGATTCTAGTGAAGGTGTATGGTACGGAAGCCGAGAGGGGTCACAACAAACGCAAACGCCGCAACAAATACAAATGCGACAACACAACAAAAAGCCACAACAAACCAAAAAAAGCCACAACGGAAATAACCGCGGGACTTTATTTGAATGCAAACACCGCAACAAATACAAACGCCACAACACATTAAAAAGCCACAACACATTAAAAAGCCACAACACATTAAAAAGCCACAACGGAAGTGACCGCGGGACTTTATTTTCCGACGGACCAATCAAGCGGCAAGTGAAGAAGAAGAACTACAACGTGAAAAGTAAAGGAACGGAGAAGTTGGAAACACGTAAGTAAAAGTAATGTTATTGCTTTATCATTATTCGTTTCACGTTGTATTTCTTCTTCTTCTTCTTCACTTGCCGCTTGATTGGTCCGTCGGAAAATAGAGTCCCGCGGTCACTTCCGTTGTGGCTTTTTGATGTGTTGTGGCTTTTTGATGTGTTGTGTCATTTGCGTTTGTGTTGTGGCGTTTGTATTTGTTGCGGCATTTGCATTAAAATAGAGTTCCGCGGTCATTTC